AGCACCGTTTCATTATTCGCTATAAATTACCTGCCCCTTTGTAATCGCTCGTAAAGGTGCGTCAAGACGAATAAATAAGCGACCGTTGGACATCTTGTACACTCTGCATCCGATCAACGGATTTCTATGTTGAAAGCGGAAGTTACACGTCAACACGCCATTGTTGAGTTCGCGCGGCTCCTCGTTGATCCAATGAATCTCCCGTGTTATCAGAAAGTCGGTGTATAACGCTGGGTGAGTTGTGCCACCTACCTACGTCGCAAGAAGAATACAGAATACTATTAGCAAGTTTTAATTTATTTTCAATAAAATGTTACAATTCCGATTTTCTGTCACATACCACCATAATGGTATTAGACTCCTGATCCTTGCTAAACACGTAATAGGGCTTGAGACAGCCGGAAATTTTACATCCTTGCCCTATCGTCCGTTTGTGAATGCCATCGTGTCTACCTATCGGCAGTCCACTATCCAAATCTATATAATCACCAGGTTTATCTTTTATATACTGCAACAGTGTTATAAAATAATTGTCATCGTCATCATCTTGTTTTAATCTTGTCGGAAGCACGCGGCGTTAAGTGGGGAGAAACGTATCTCTTTTACCTCTGAAATAAAATCCTGAAACTCACGTTTTCCCACGAAACAAATACCCATGCTTTCCTTCTTTCGTGCTATCTGGCGCAATCCTATTTGTACGGCCATCATCTTTACGTGACTCTTCAAGTAATTTCCAAGAGGAAACATGCAACGTCTCAAAGTTTGTTGCGGCACTTGGCTCAAGAAGAAAGTTTGATCCTTATTGCTATCTTGTGCCTGTAACAAGCACACGTCTACAGAATTATAATAGTCGCACGCTATCGTTAAGTTGCATTAACGAATATTGAATTAATTTCACTTGACATAGGATACTTACTGGTGTTCGCTTCATAATTCTCTAGATAAGGTCCAAAGCTCGTTTTAGCGTAATGACCCGTTGCAATTGCATCCGCTTGAAATCTGTTACGCGCGAGATGGAAAAATTTGTCAAACTTGATGTTCTTGTTGCACAAAATATCTGGATTTGGAGTATAACCATTCTGATACTTTTCCACCAGATCACTGGAAAAAAAAAGAAAATTAGAGATGAGTAAAAATGAGGCTATCCTCGTTCGGGCGTGAAAATACCAAAATGTCTAAAATGTACCTAAAGACCTCGTTCCAATATTCTTTGACAAAGTCGACCTGTATCAAAGGGATTTTTAATTTGTCGCAGATCCATCGAGCATCGTCGTAATCTCTCTCGACCGCGCACCTTCCCGTTTCATCTCTAATGTCCCAGTTTTTCATAAATACTCCAGTGACGTTGAATCCTTAAAAAAAAAAAAAAGACATATCTATTTCAAGGTCTATTCTGGAATTATATTAATCTACAATATATTGATGAAAGAGGTAAAGCTACATTATTAAGCTTATTCTTCATTCTTACCTTTGTTTTTAAGTAGAAGAGCCGCCACGGCACTGTCGACACCGCCAGACACTCCCACAACAACATTTCTGATCGTCTCCATAGTCCGTGGAACAATTCAATTCATCGAGTATATCAAATAGGTTGTTTCTTTTCAGGACGACACGCTACTCTTTAAAGAAATTAGTCACGTCGAACAATGATCTCGGTCGCTTCTCAAGATCAAGAGCGCTCAGGGCCACTTAGGTTAGGACTCGCGAGAGTTCTGAGACTGTTCTGATTGTGAGACGACTTGACGAGTGATTCGAAGTCTCGCGCCTGAGTCGTCATTGGTCGCGATGAGTCGCCGAGCAAAGTCCGTCGGCCAATCCACGCGTGGCTCTCTCAGGTCGGCGACCAGTCAAGCTCATTGACAGATAAACGTCCAGCAATTACGACGCGCGGTGCGGTGCATCTCGGGTCGGGTGTCTGTGTCCGTGTGTCGCGTCGCAGCGTTAGCAACTGCGACTGCGAACGTGGACGTGGACGACGCGGCGACGCGACGAAAGTGCGAAACCTGAGGAGAAGTGCCACGAGTGCCATCAGGAGGCCTCGTGTGCCATGTATCGAAAATTGCAATGTCACCGACGCTCTCGCGAGGAACGACGCCGCGCGAATCGCGCGATTCTGTCTCCGTCGCGGCAGCGGGCCATTTTGCCACATTTTGCGCAGTTGCCATGACCCAGATTACAATGGGGGGTTTGCTCGTCTCTTGGAACAGCTGGGTGAGCCGTTGGCTCAATGGCTCACGTGCGGTCGCGGGTCGCGGGCAGGGAAGCTACTCGCCGCGTGCCGCTGGTATCGCGCACGCCTCTTTCTGCGCGCCCTGCGCCACTCGGCGCAATTCGGAGCAACGACGGCGACTCAGGGCCGGGCCGCGGGCGCGTGTTGCTTAGGTCTTTTCGATGGTCCTCTTGGCGCCCCCTTGACTCGCGCGAGGCCGAGGAGCGATGCGAGATGTGATCGAAATTTAAAATTTAAATGTGAATATATCGAGAACACGCGTGCACGGGCCAAGTTCCCGTACGTTTGTAATTTTCATGCGTATATGTAAAAAAACGATAACCGTAACTGAATTTGCGAGATCGTTATTTTCCCCCAACTGCTCTCCGATCAATTCCTCCGTTTTCAACGCGAAACTTCGCGAGACCAAAAGGGAAGACGAGAGACAAAAAAAAAAAAAAGAGAAAGACCGGCCCGACTCCGTTGACTCGAGTCTCTTGTTTTTATTGCTTCGCTCGACCTTCTATTGGGATTGCTTCTATCGAGTTCGGCGATGACAAACGCTCGTACGCGCACGCACATTCGCAACGCCGCGATCACGAGCTCGATACTCGCAACTCGGAATTACTCGGAATAGCACGCGCGTTTCAATTTCAATTTTCATCAATTCCAATCCGCTCGCGCATCGTCGGACATCGTTGGCTCCGATCGACGGTGGATCGGTCCGTCTCTCAACGTTTCTGGCGACGCCGACGAGACACGAGACCCTCCGTGACCCTCTATCCTGGACGAGGACGAGCATGGCGTGGACAAGGGTGAACGGGCGTCGCTCGTCGCGCCACGGCAGTCGCGGCGGTCGCGGTAGTCGCGGATGGCTGCGGCCTGCGGATTGCGGATGGCCGATGGCGCGGCGTCGCGAGTCGCGAGTCGTGGGAGGCGGCGAGGCGCTAGCCGGTAGCAGCAGCAGCAGCGGCACCCGATGCACCCGAACCCGAGTGGTTGGTAACAGAAGAGACGCCGCCGCTGGTCGCGCCAATACGCTCCTGCGCAGTGCGCAGTACAGTTCCCCCACTCTCATCTCCCGTCTCGCTACTCCCGCCGTCCTGTCGTCCCCGCCTCCCGCAACGCGACCAGTCGGTTCCTTGTTTGCCATCACAAAATCCAATAGTTTGCCTTGTACCATCGAAGGAGCGAGGGTGCGCGCGGTTCGGCGCGGTTTCACGTACGCGTCTTATGGAAAAGTGCGGTGAAGAATCTGACGAGTCCTCCGGTGTAACGCGCGCCTCTCGTTTACGCGAAAGATGTACATTATTCCGCGTTTGTTTACCCACACTACGAGATTTCGCCGTCGCTGAGAAATAATCTCTCTCGTTCGCTCGCTCGCTCGCTGGCTCTCTCGCGCGCGCGCGCGCGCGAGTATTCGTGGAAGAGCGAGGAACATAGTGAATTCCTACGGGGCAACCGGACCGACCGGCCCCTTAAGGCTTTGTCGATTTTTTGGTCGTGGAAAAAACGGCGAACCAAGGAAGAAAGAGAGGAAGAGGAAGGTGTGGAACGTACAGAACGTGCGAGAGAGGGGACAGGATCCAAGTATATGAGGAGAAATAGAGTGAGAAAGTAAGAAAGAGAGCGGGAAGAAGGAGAGAGAGAGAAAACGCTCGCGCGCGCGCGCGCGCACCGTGCCGTGTGTGCGCGCGGATGCGTACGTGTGTGTGTGCGTGAACGGAGCGGGCGCGCGAACGCGAACGGAAGAGGAACAGAGAGAGGCGGAGACGATAAAAGAGAGAGAGGTGGAGAGAGAGAGAGAGAGAGAAAAGAACTCTAACGTAAGTGTAAGTAAGGGGTCGATTATACGCGTTGAGAGGCACGACCGCGAGGGAAGAAGCTGGTGATACGAGGCAAAGGTGCCTCCTTCGGCGGCGACGGTGGCACGGCGACACGGCGACGGCGGCGGCGGCGGTGGCGGCGGCGGTGGCGGTGGCGTCGGTGGCGCTTCGCGGAGGAAGTGACTGCACGCGGCGCGGACGTACGCTCCTGCCTACCTACCAACTCGAGTTCGCCGAGTTTGCTCCGGGAATGCGTTATGTATTTACGTAGAATATTGCGTAACGCAGCACGGGCCGGCTAGAGTGTTTGAAAACGTGCGGCGTTTACGGGGAACGTCGCGGCATAGGCCAACGCTGAACGCAGCCTGGGAGAGTGTATAGGGTGGCCGAGAGTGTTGACTGTGCCGGCGCAAGTTTTTCGCGCGTGCATACGCAGCAGGAATCCAACCCGGCCATCGGCGCGATCGAAAGTTTCGGGGGAGCCGGAGGCCGGAGGAGAGTCGGCGACGCCAGTGTACGGACTCACGGCGACGACCAAGGGACATATCTCGACCGCGACGTCACCGTGTGTCCCCGCTCGTGTCCCTCGTCGTGCTTCTACGACGACGAAACCTACGTGGGAGATAGGGACGCGAAACGTGTTTTCTCAGATGGAAATTGGTATGGAGAAAGAGAATGTGAGGGGGAGAGTGAGAGAGAGAGAGAGAAAGTGTGTGCAATGTGTGTGTGTGTGTGTGTGTGTGTCTGTGTAAGAGAGAGAGAGAGAGAGGGAGAGAGACGAAAGACGCCAGTCTGTCCGTCCGTCCGCTTACGACCGCAACGTCCGGGACATTTATCTGCGTGTTCCTCATCTTCGTCGCGTGTCCGATGCGATTTTTTTCACATACGCCGCGTACGCGCGGCACCGCGTCGAGAACTCCGCAACGGAGCTCGATCTGGCCTCTCCCTCCCCCCCCCCTCTCTCTCTCTCTCTCGTAGCTATAGTACGAGTTTACAATTTATTTTTGTAACGCGCCTGTGTCTCGAGGCTCGCGCGTTGGAAACGCGATGATAAAACTTGCTCCCCTGTTTCATCGCAAAATTATTGCCGTTTACGTCTCGCCGAATCTCCCCACCGCCACGATAGAAATGGACTTTTACGCGTGTTCGCCCGATTAGCTCCAAGCGATTATGAAATTGTCCGACGAAATCGAGGAGTAGAGTTTCTTTCGGTCCTAGAGACGTCTAACCTGACTTGATGCACTTTTCACACGTTGCATTTTTCTATATCTTTCGAACGTCATGTATGTATGTATGTATGCACAACAGTATATCGTCTTTTAATCGCGTATAGGATTTAATCGCTTGGAAATGTATAAGCTACCAAAGAAATTTGAATAGGCTTTCACGTATAATTTAATCTTTTTTTTCGATAATCTCCAATAAAATGATTAAACGTTAATCACGAGACGTATGTACACGTATTTATGTATGTATATTTCAAGTATATACTCGTACTTAGAATGTAGAATGTTAGAAAAATTTCCAACATGTAATGTACTAACCTATATCTATTATATCTTACGTTCATATGAATATAAATGTACTTAAGATATTAAGATAATGTGCTATCGACGTTCGAATATCCGAGCAGCTCAGAAATATCTCTTTTGTGTCTCTGAGATTCACTTGTAATTCAAAAATAAGGGTGATTTGCCAAATGTGAATCTAAACTAACCTTCTCTAAAAATAATTATCAGCTTTTAACGTTCCGAAATCCTAGTAAAATTGACAAGTCAGTTTGGATCTGTTTTTAAACAATATACTTATATTTTTGGTATTACTTTTTAATATTACTATAATGTCTGTCAATTTACACGTTAGTTTATAGCTTGCCATTTTTATATTTGTACTTAAATTATGTACGTTTACAAGATGGAAAAATTGCTTTATCCGTGTTAGTCAAATTCTTGTTACGAATAAGTACGTAGCTAACGTTTTCTTGAAAATATAATGCTTTCGATAGTGATTTGTAAATTAAATAACAAAACGGAGAGTGACTAAATCTCTTCTGGACGTACTTTTATTTCAGCACCTCCAATGTAATTTGCAATGAAACGTGTTCGTGGACTGGACGACGTAACATCACCACCTGCAAAGCACTCGTCGGTGAGCGCGGGAAGTGGCTTAGGTGGTGGAGGAGGTAGTTTAGATTACCACGCCAGCAGTGGAATAGGGGTTGTTGTACCTGGTCAAGCAGTTCGGTCTGTTACTTCAAAAGAAATGCCAGCGAGTATACAGTTTGGTACTGCCCAAGCTCAACAACAATATACCGGAGCGATTGTTGTGCCAACCGCAACGCCATCTCCCATCAAGGTAAATTGCAAAGCATGATGATGATGATGATAATAATATCGTAATTTAGATATATCATAATACGTTATAAATGTCGTATATGCAGCAGGCGAGTAGCTCTGCGGGAGGACTCGGTTCCACGTGTAGCAGTAGCAGCATAAGCACTGGCGGTAATTTGCATAGTGGGATAGGTGGTGGCAATAGTCATACAATGGCTTCTCAACAACCTACATCAGGTTCGCAAAATCAAGTCCATACGCAGCAGCACGCGACAATAAGGCATAAGGTTTGCGCCAACTACTTTTTCTTCCCTTTTCGTTACATACGCGCGGGCGCGCCGCGCAAAAGTACAAACTAAACATGCATATTTGTCGCTATAGGTACATTCTAGCAGTGTAACACCGCTAGCTTCCACTCCACCCGGCTCTAATCTAGGAGGAGGAAGTGGATCTCAACAGTTTCAGAGATTAAAAGTGGAGGATGCATTATCTTATCTGGATCAAGTAAAATATAAATTTAGCGATCAACCACAGGTGAGCAACAAAGAATTAAATAACAAGTTTAAGATTATTTCCATTCTCCTGCCGATACTTCTAAAGAAAAACGTCACATGAAAAACCGTACTGTATGTTTTAACTGTTGAACACATTATTTGTTTTTAATAATTTTCCAAAGAAAAATCTTATTTAAAGAATTTTATTGGCATCACTATTGTTTTTCTTAAGAAGGTAGTGCCTCCATACACAGCTAATTATGTTGAAACATCGGTATATAAGTAAAAAAGAAACGCTCAGTATTTTTCATATTGTGTTAACAAACCTTTTTATGTTCTTTTTTTTAGGTGTACAATGACTTCTTAGACATTATGAAAGAGTTCAAATCTCAAAGTATAGATACTCCAGGCGTTATAACTCGAGTGAGTCATCTCTTCAAAGGACATCCCGAACTCATCGTTGGTTTCAATACATTTCTCCCACCAGGCTACAAGATAGAGGTACAAGCAAACGAACAAGGATATGCTTTCCAAGTATCAGTCAGTATGCCTAGCCCAACGGCAACGCATACCGCCACGTTATCGCAGCATCATTGTACGGTGAACGTTGGTTCACCTCCTGTAGCTAGTCCGCCCACGCAGCCTGCAAAGGCACCTCCCGTTTTACAAATAATGCAAGGGTAAGCATTTCGCTCAAATCTACATAATATCTATATATCACTACAAATTGTTATGAGAAACAGATGCGATACCTGTAGCCATATTCGTTTGTTCTTAGGTCAGGTAATATACACCATACTTTGGCAAACAGTATTACAACCAACAGCTTAACTGTTCACGCGCCATCACCGCCGCCAGTATCAGTGTATAATAATTCACATGTGAGCACTGCACAGGCGCAAGCTGTCAGTCAAGCTTTAAGTCAAGCGGATGGTGTGTCGACTGGTGGGCAGACGCAGCAAAGCCAACCGGTTGAATTTAACCATGCGATAAACTATGTTAATAAAATTAAGGTAGGATTACTAGCAAGAAGAAAAAATTCTCGAAAAAAAATATACGCGCGCGCGCGTCTCGGAACAATGGGAAACAATGACGATGAAAAGCGTGTATAAAAGGCATAAAATTCGTTTATTTTCAGAATCGGTTCCAAGGTCAGCCAGACAAATACAAACGTTTTCTGGAAATATTACATACGTATCAGAAAGAACAGCGAAATTTAAAGGAATCTGGCCATATGGGAGGTACAAGTTCCGGTGCGACAGGTGGTACAAAACACTTGACAGAAGCGGAAGTTTATAGCCAAGTTGCTAAATTGTTCGAAAATCAAGAGGATTTACTTGCTGAGTTTGGACAATTTTTGCCGGATGCCACTAATCAGCAAAGTTCGTTGGTGAGTCGGTGTTTATTTACAGCAGAACGAAACAACGACGGTTTTGACAAAATAGAATTTCAGATGAAGAATTGCAATGTAAGAAATTGTCCCAAAATAATACTGGCCTTGTGTACTGATTTTGAACGAATATGTTAACAGATGTGCATAAGAACATATAGTTTGTGGTTATTGTTTCTTGTTTTTCTAAAATTTTGGTAATAAGGACCACGTATACATGTGCAAGGAGCGCAAATGGGAAGACAATGTTTATAAAATGCGTCCTTTTATAGATTGTAAGCTGTTGTAATATGGCTTATCGTTTTAAACTCACATCCGTGATTTCATATGCCAGGTTGTTCTCTTGATCCGTAGTAATACACAAGACAAAAGAAGAGAATATTGCCACAACTTTCCTTTTTATTTCCGATAACACTTTTCTGTCGCTGAGAAAGCTGTCTCCTAATTGGGTGAAGTAGTCAGTTTTGATTCCTATTAGTCTGCCATGTTTCAGACTAATAAGACGGCATCGGTTAACGATCACGCGGCGATTGTCAAGAAACCAATTGGACCTAAAACACCCTACAACAATTCTGGTACCATATCGAGAGATCTTCGAGAAGCTAGTAGTACGGCTGGACTGGAACGCGACAATCGAGATCATAGAGAACGAGAACGGGAGCGAGATAGATCGAACGTAAGAGATATTGTTAGCGGCCAGAAATCCGGACACAATCCTGGACAACTGAAGAGGAGCCCGTCATTCTCGACTTCGGCAACAGCGGGAAATTCTCATATACAACATGGGCCACCTACGAAAAAGCACAAAGTGGCTTCGATGCGCGATATTACTATTGCGGAAGCCGGCAAATACGGTACCCTGAACGACTATGCTTTCTTTGATAAGGTGAGCATCAGGTATCACTTTGGTTGTAATTTCTGCATTTTAGCCGTTAAGCGTTGAGCTGCTTTTCCTCAAGCAAGTTTCCTCAAATAAATGTGAGCGATGTTTGATCCCTTAGGTTCGAAAGGCACTCAGATCACAAGAGGTTTACGAAAACTTTCTTCGATGCCTTGTACTTTTCAATCAAGAAATAGTATCCAAGTCGGAGCTCATTCAGCTGGTGACACCGTTTCTCGGCCGTTTTCCCGAGTTACTACATTGGTTCAAAGATTTTCTCGGTTACTTATCCGATTCATCCAGCACGACGGTGACGAACGCAGGAAACGCCGTAGGCGTAGAGACTTTCCCAAACAGCATTGTGCGCAGCCACCAGGAACGGCCGCAAGGTGACTTGGCGATAGAAATTGATTATACAGCATGCAAGCGGCTGGGGGCGTCGTATTGCGCATTGCCAAAATCGTACATTCAACCAAAATGCAGTGGCAGAACGCAATTGTGTAAGGAGGTCCTTAATGATACTTGGGTGTCATTTCCAACTTGGTCAGAAGACAGCACATTTGTAACGTCAAGGTAATTAATCATATTTATTTTACTCTTTGAACCCTGAAACATCCTGGAATGCTCATTCAACAAATAATCGACATTGCCAATTACGAGATACGTGTATATTGGTTTGCCTAGGAAAACACAATATGAAGAATCTATATATCGGTGCGAGGATGAACGTTTTGAATTGGACGTCGTTATAGAAACTAATGCGTCGACGATCAGAGTGCTCGAGGGTGTTCATAAGAAAATGAACAGAATGACTCAGGAGGAGATACAGAAATACAAGCTCGACGAGTGTATGGGTGGTTGTTCCCCTACGATTCATCAACGAGCGATAAGAAGGATATATGGCGATAAAGCTCCCGATATCATAGAGGGTCTCAAAAGAAATCCCGCGGTAGCCGTGCCCGTTGTGCTCCGCCGTTTAAAGGCCAAGGAGGAAGAATGGCGGGAAGCGCAAAAGGGATTTAATAAAATCTGGAGGGAGCAAAACGAAAAGTACTACTTAAAATCGTTGGATCATCAGGGAATTAATTTTAAACAGAATGATGTAAAAGCGTTGAGATCGAAGAGTCTGTTTAATGAAATTGAAACATTGTACGACGAGGTTGGTATATATACTATTTTAATTTTATTCATACTTCTCGTCTCGCGCACGTTCCTTCTTCTCCTTTCCCTCCTCCTGTTTCGCAATCATTTCACGCATTACATGCCGATGCATTATATATACAGAGGCACGAACAGGGTGACGATGGTAATGGCGATGGTCAGGGAACCAGCGGTCCACATCTCGTTCTACCGTACAAAGACAAGTCCGTATTAGACGATGCTGCTAACCTCTTGATCCATCACGTCAAACGACAAACCGCTGTTCATAAAGAAGACAAACAACGGATAAAACTGTTATTGAAACATTTTATACCTGATCTTTTTTTCCATCCCCGTCAAGAACTCAGCGATGACGAAAGGGACGAAGATGGTAAATTTTTCTTTTTCTCTCTTTTTTTTTCTTTCTTTTTTTTTTTAATAATAAATTAATTATCTATTATCATAAAGTCAAATATAACTTGTGATACATATATACATATATATATATCTTGCTCTGTTCTTGTTCCGCTACAGATGAGAAGGAAGATGTAAATGTGGCAACGTGTAATAATTCTCAATCCGCGACGACTACTTCATCGTTAAGTGGTTTGCAAGCTAATAGGAGTAAGGCCCCTACGTCGCCAAACACATCTTCCGCTACCAGCAAAAGTGAACCCGACGTCAAAGTACCCATGCACGCTCTCTCGAGCGATCCCGAAGAAGCGTACACACTTTTCATGGGTAGTAACAATTGGTACCTCTTCCTGAGGTTACATCATATACTTTGTGAGAGATTAACGAAAATGTACGACAGAGCGGTCGCTCTCGCCGAAGAGGAATCCAAGTATAAGCAGCAGCGCAAAGAAAGTACAGCGGTTGCTTTGAGATTAAAACCAAAAAGTAAGTAATATATTTGCCAATTGTAAAACTAAGCGCGACAGCCTTGGCAATTCAGGCAATTGGCTGTCGCGCATCGCGTCATGTATTAAATCACACTCATTGTCGGTAATATTTGGGTATAGGTGAAATTGAAATTGAAGATTATTACCCTGCCTTTCTGGATATGGTTAAAAATGTCCTCGACGGAAATATGGAAAGCACAGCATACGAAGACACATTACGAGAAATGTTCGGTATACATGCCTATATTGCCTTTACTCTCGATAAGGTCGTTAATTATGCTGTTAGGCAAGTGAGTAAATGTTTCTTTCTATTTCCTTTTGAATGATATCACAGGAAAAAGAACGGACACGCGAAATTACATGTGTATATTTCTGGCAGTTGCAGCACCTAGTCTCAGATAACGTTTGTCAACAATGCATGGATTTATTCCAAAGAGAGCAACGTCAGCCTAAAGAAAATAATGGAGCCGGTGGGTTATGCGCCACGGCCTACGTGAGATTAAGCGCTGAACTGTCGTATCAACGCAAGGCGGAGAAAGCAATGGCAGATGAAAACTGTTTCAAGATATATATAGTGAGTAACTTTTTGAAATATTTGATTTATCAGTTATTGCCGTAATAGCAATTATTGTTGACATTGACAAATTACATGACGCATACTTTTATCTTCTTCTATACGGGGTATTTCAAAAATATTTGCCTAGACTTTACGAATTTTCTTCTTGAGAAAACTCGAACTAGATAAATAGAAGATGTGAAGACGTTAAAGTTCGACAAACATTTAAAGAGCACCATGTTTATTATGACTATATAACGCAGTGCACTATTATACGTTGTAAATAAAACTATACTCCGTCCAACGAGAGATCACGGTTGGATCGGACGAAAACTCGTCCGTTTCGCGCAGATCTCCGCTCACAGAACATCTATTTACGTATACGGTACGCTACGCTCTAGGAACTTTACCCTCAGTTTGTTCGCCTATGCGCAGAATCAACCATGATCTCTCGTTGGACAGAGTATGATTCGTTAGAATTGTCAATAATAACGTGCTTCACTGAATTTGCTTGTATATGATTAGATTCTAGTCGCAAACTCTGAAGCTTTATTTTTTATTTCAGTATAAAAAGGACTGTAAAATGACAATGGAGTTGTTAGATACAGAGGGCGACGAACCGGTGGATAACGGCTGTAGAGAGAGAGAAAGGGAAGGCGTTACAGTCTCTGAAAAATGGTCGGCGTACATTGATAGTTTTTCTGCACCAGCTGGTCAGACTAGCCCCAAAGATACTCCTGCCTTAACAGAGAATGAGCAGACGACCAATCATCCTGTGAGTAGCGACCAGGCAGCAAGGGGGGGAAGGGGCAGAAAACGCAAGAACACTGACATTAGCAAGAAGGTATAGGATCCAAATACCTTTTCATAATCATTGCCAACATTCAACTTAACGTTCATTCGCATAAATGACATCTGTGATTAAAACGTTGTACCTCGTCGTTTTTATTTGGCGTACAACAATGAGTGCCCCAAAGAGCAAAGGTTTAATGGAACTTTCCTCTACCAAAAGTAGAGTTTACTTGTGAACAACTAAAATAAATTAGACGCTTTTGTGGGAAGGGAGTGAGATATCTTCGTGAAAAATTTCGTTAAAGTAGAAACACGTCCGTGCGCGCATAAATACATACACGGTACACACACGCACGCACGCACGCACGTGCACGCACGCATCGTGTACGCACAAAATACATACCAGTTTCTATGAAATCGTTTTTATTAACAGAAAATCATATGTATTTGTTTCGCCAATAATTAATAAACGAGAAAGATTATTTTTATTTTCGACAACGTTTGGCTAATGTCGTGACAATTCGACCATTGGTTTTGGTCAGATTAATCGTCAAGACTTTTTCGACCATGGGTTTTGGTCTTTTTAAATTGAAATAATCTTTGATACTTATATATATAAGCATCTCATTTCATTAAATTTAAATAATTTAATTTATTGCGAAAAATATTACCTCAGCCAGGGTTCGAACCTGGAACCTCTCTCATTCCGTGTAGGGCGTCATACCAATTCGACCACCGAGGCATAAAATTAAATTATTTAAATTTAATTAAATGAGATGCTTATATATATAAGTATATATATAAGTATCAAAGATTACTTTAATTTAAAAAGATCAAAACTCATGGTCGAAAAAGTCTTGACGATTAATCTGACCAAAACCAATGGTCGAATTGTCACGACGTTAGCCAAACGTTTTTGAATATAAAAATAATGAGCAGAATCAATCAACTGTACCATATAGTATACACACATCAAATTTCTTATATTCATTCTAACCAGTTGATGTGAAATTTATATTGACATATTTTGACATAAAGGAAAGAAAAGTTTATTTTTTACACATTTAAAAACTTTTTAGCCAATAAAAAAATCATTTTATAGACTAAGAAGTATTTAAGATGATCTGTAAATATAACAATCGATTAAGAACAAGCCTTAGTGCGCACTCAGTGTACACTAGTGCAAGCGCCCGAATTCGCTATAAGTAAAGTTATGTAGATTCTATCTTTCCTCGGTCACATGTGGAGACGAAGATATAAATTATAAATAAAAATAAAAGCAAAACAAAAAATAAAGAAAAACTCTAGCAAAGTTAAAGATAGAAAACTTGTTTATAATTTAATATTCATATCATTTAATTAAAAAGGAAACTGTCTTTTGATTTTTTCTCTTTTGCTTCTTTAATAAATTTATATCTCTATTTTTGTTTATAATATAAAATTTTTTAAAATAAAAACAAATTATATATAGAAGAAAAAACAATATATGTTAATAGTATTAATAATATTTGCAATACTTTGTGTATCGTAAATAATTTAAAGCATTTGAATTGAAGGAAAACATTTACATTTACATTTGCAGAAAGGAGATTAGACACATTTGCATTTGCGCTGTAATGACGCGCCAGAAATATTCATGTAATTTGTAATACCATATACAGATGATTACGGTTGAAAGAAGTTTCATAAGTCTCTTATAAATTCCTAATTAGTATAAGATATAATAAGTTGAATTACAGAAAAGTATGATAGCAAACTGGCATTTTTTTTGCCATTTTGCGTATGTGGAAAAAAAATTAGTTGCACCATCAGATGAATGTATAGAAAGATGACCGATATTAATGACATACGCAACCAACACGGGCATCTTAATGATATGCGTAAAGCGTAAATAATCCAGCAAAGTGCATCTGTATAATTGTCCTGCCTCATAGATTAATAGAAACGTCTAACGGTCGAACATGAGTTTCGCGAGTTCGATATCGAGACTCGGGATCGTCTGTAGACGACTTAGGTACCTGGTATTTTGTGTTTTGCTTTTATTTATATTTATAATTTATATCTTCGTCTCCACATGTGACCGAGGAAAGATAGAATCTACATAATTTTACTTATAGCGAATTCGGGCGCTTGCACTAGTGCACACTGGGTGCGCACTAAGGCTTGTTCTTAATCGATTGTTATATTTACAGATCATCTTAAATACTTCTTAGTCTATAAAATAATTTTTTTATTGGCTAAAAAGTTTTTAAATGTGTAAAAAATAAACTTTTCTTTACTTTATGTCAAAATATGTCAATATAAATTTCACATCGACTGGTTAGAATGAATATAAGAAATTTCATGTGTGTATACTATATGGTACAGTTGATTGATTCTGCTCATTATTTTATGTTTAAGTATTCATTTATTGACGAGTGTTGTAAAGAACCAATATAGTTGTGAGGTAACATGATGATAATGATGATGACCAATTGTTGTAAAATAATGATAAAAATTGTATAAAACAGAGAAAAAAAAGAACTGGCATGAATTTTACACAGTCATCCTAACAGTGCCATAATGAATGTAAACTAATAATTAAATGAACAATTTAGATGCCTTTTTTTGGATTGAATGTGTACCTTCCTCTAATTAGTTGCATATTTTCTAAGAAATAAGAAATATATATTTAGAATATTTGTAATGTATGTATATATATAATTGATTACTTTAAAACTAATTAAATATTAAATTACTAAGTACTTTATATATAAATGATAATGAGATATTCCATCTTTGTTTCTCTGCGTATATACGTGTGTGTGTTTGTGTGTGTGTGTACCACACAAACACACACATATGTATTACATATATCAACTATCTTTTATATTTTGTGAAAAGTTAAAAACTAAAACTACAACAAACACACATATTAGATCATTATTATCAAGAATAGCTTGGGATGGAACAGTTTACATTTTAAATATAAAGTACGAATGAAGATTTTAGTAAAAATAATATCAATTTATTGTGAAAAGTCATTCTTCTATCAATAATATATTTCGTGCGATTAAACTTGACAGGAAAATAAGATTTTCTTCAAGTGCACATTTCTTTCAAATTATTACGATGGATAATTATCATAAAATTATTTTAGATTAAACGGTAATGGCTCGCATTACAGTTACGTTTCTTTAATAAGGAAAGAGATTTCGAATTATTTAATAAAAGTATGAGTTCAAATTAACACGGTATCTCATCGGAAAAGACTGATTACAAAAGTGTGTAACGATTTAAATCGTAAAAAAGTAAATCGAAAACAAATTTATTGAACTAACAAAAATATTTTTATTAGTCTTAATCAATATTTTAGTCTATTACAAAATAAATATAATGTATATTTCATGCTCGTATATATAATTTGTATAAGTTTTCTATTATGATTTACTTGGAATGTGCATAACTTTTTATTAAGCAGCGATGCATATTGTTACGCGTATCGGTGGAAATTTTTTTTCGATAAATTCCCGTTATTTTTATTCAATACACGCATCCTGTTTAAAATCAAAGCTATCTATGTACTGTACATATAAAATCAAAGAAGCTTATTTTCTCTGAGGCATATAACAATTTAGATATAAGATATGTACATATTATCTGAAAGAAAGGCATCTATCTATTTAATAAGTGAGAATAATCTTTCGTACATACAAGTAAAATACTAATTTATATAATAACACATTTGACGTTAGTCAATTTTTAAAATTTTTGTTATTTTCTTCATATGGTTTTATACTAGACAAAGATATATATATATATTAGTTTTATTGTAAAAAGATATAAAATTAGATTTTTTCTCATTTTTGAAGAACTGTAAATATTTAACACAAATTTGTATATACATTTTTATACTTATTCAACTTTCAATAGCTAATAGTAAAATAGTTAATGGTTAAGTTTCATACTTGACTAATTCTTGCTATTGTATTCAGAACTGTAGTAGTGAAGCCTTTGGATAGAAGATATGGATACAACACAACACATACACACACACACCGTTCCTTGATTATCTCAATACATTATTTCTACGCCATTGTTAAACATTATAACAGTTGACGCGGTTACACGTTTAGTATCGTTTTATTAGCTTTTCGAGAACAAATGTTCTGATTTTTAAAGAAATTGCGAAAGCTGGGCGGTTAGATTATTGCATGGGAAGAAATGACGAGCAATGTACTAATAAAATTCCTATGTGATATATCTCACACAAAAAATATGGATATGTCGGAGAAACATCGAAACTTGTTATGGCTTGTATACTTGTTTGGCTATTTGACCTGCTAATCTAAAATTGTTTTCTACATGAGAACTGATCTCGTAACCACATCGCTGACGTATAGTAGAAGAGTCCATGCGCATTTGCTCCATACGAGGGCACAGCGTGTCATGCTACATTTCAAGTACCTCAAAGTATGTTACAGGATCAGCTGTAGTACGATGCACTATGCCTTTGTATGAATCAAGTGTGCATTGGTTTTAGCTAACGAGTCAACGAGGTATGACAAGACTGTACTCTGTGGCGTGGAGCTGAGCGTGTTTTTAGCTTAACTGTTGCGTCCTTCATCAAACACATGTGTATATACGTAATATACTTTGCTACGTGTATATATATATATGTACATATATATATAAAAATGATATATAGTGATATATAGTAAAGCAGAGATACTACGAACTGTATTATTATGTGCTGTATATAGAAAGTCAGTTGTAATTTTGCATCAATTCTGTAATAATGTTTGATAAACGCGACAGTATGAAGTATTAATACCCGCAGTATTTGTCATTTTACCAAAAGTTTCACATTCTTAAATTTTTATTTTGACTTGTCCTGGATTCGGAATAATTTTCAGCCACTCGTGCTTCTTAATACCAATTTCTAGAAACTTGCGCATTTTATATTAATTCGATTTAATTTTATTTCTAATTACTTTTATTCCATATTATTTTTTTTCTTAAAATTCCTCTTTTTTTCTTTCTACGATATGAAGCTATATCGGTAATAGCGGCAGCGTGAACTCTAAACATTTTTTTTTTCCAATGATCTTTACACATATTTTACAAGCAAACGTTTTCTAACAAGGCATACATCGCACAGTTTCGATAGCAGTAATCTCAAATATTCTTTTTATAAATTAATTGATTTTGACATTTAACATATTTAATCACAGAGTCAAGAAGAGTTTACATGCATTTTGACACTAACACACACACACACACACACACACACAGAGGGAGAGAGAGACGTGCGCGCGCGCGTGTGTACTATCATTAAGATTATTATACTCTACATGTGTATGAACATGATTATTGAGCCATATCTTTATTTCCTAAAGTGGATTGAAAACTCGTGCTTTTGCGCATGCGCGCGCACGCGTATGCACATGATCACAGTTTATTCTCTCTCTCTCTCTCTCTCTCTCTCTCTTTCTCTCGTGCGCGCGCGCGCACGTACACACGCACACAGGCACGCACATCGTATCCAATCTCTTT